ATCTTCAAGTAAAAAGTATTTATATTTATATATTTTTTTTATATAAATAAGAGAGTTAGTGTAGTTGATTATTCTTGAAGTACCAATTGTGATCCTGATTTTAATTAAAATTTAGTTTACAGTTAGTTAATATTAACTCAATTTATCAATTAATTTTAAATATAAAACAAAATATATTTGTAACATTTATTATTTTCTAAAGCTAAATTACATCATATTTTTATGCGTGTGCTTACCGCGAGGTATGACTTTTCAAGCAAATGACAGAAATTATATAGGAAGGAAGATCCGAAGATGAAGAAAGTCACAGAGAATATAAAGAAGGAAAGGAGGAGGTGAGGGCGGAGAAATAACACGTGATGTGGGGTCCTCTGAAGGGTTCTATGGTAATTTTTGTCTTCTGTACGGAAAACTGTTTATTTAATCCAAAAAAATATATTTTCGAAATTTTCATTTACCTTCAGACAATACAAGAAATGTAGTTGATTTTTCTGTTTTATTAAATGGAGGATCTATTCGTACTTTCGTAGTCTCTTCAATGTAGTTGACATCAAATATCCGATCGGTCTCAAATCTGACAACTTGGGGCACAAGAAACGAAGCACGCGCGGGACCCGAGTATCTTAACTCTTAAGAATTAAGAATTAAGACGAGAGTAATTGGGCGTTTAAATCTATGGTTTAACCCTAAATCTTAATTATTTAGTTGAGGTGGTTGGAGTTTTGATTTATATTATCATTGTGAACTCCACCAAAAAGTGATTTAATGATTATGTACCTCATTTGAAGGGATGAAATATTCACTCGATTTAAAGATTGAATCCTCAATTATTAACAACTAATTCAAATTAACTTTTTAACCATTTCCTTCTAAAAAAAAGATAAGAGAGAATAGGGGGCCATGAAGTCCATTGGGTTCCTGCATAATCGGCCGAGAGGAAAATTCGAGTAAAGGTGCAAATAAAGATTCTAACTTTACATTTTTTTCTATTTAAAGATATTAATTTTGTCAGTTTTTAAATAAGGATATCAATTTTTAATTTCTTTTTAAATAAGAATGTTAACTTTGACAGTTTCTAAATAAAGATGTTAACTTTCAACCTTTTCTATTTAAGGATGTTAACTTTCAACCTTTTCTATTTAAAGATGTCAACTTTCAATTTTTTCTATTTAAGGATTAATTGAATAGTGATGTTTACGTCGCTAACATATTTTTTAGGTTAAATACCTAAATTGGTCCCTCAACTTTTATTTTTAAACCAATTCATCCTTAAACTTCAAAAAGTACCAAAAATGTCCTTCAACTTCAATTTTTAACTTCAAGTAAGAGATTTTAAACTTACCTCGTGGCCATATCGATGGATAGGTAAAGAGATTAAAGAAATTTGTCTTTTATTATATAATCTAAAATGAAAAAAAAAATCATATAATAATACACTACAACGATATATCGAGACTCTAAACAAAAATATACATATAATCACATATGACATTCAAATAAAAAAAGTTAATGACGATACATTGTTTTATATATTAACATTTTACTTGATTCATTCATTTGCACACATAGCATCCAATAGTAACCTCCTATATATTGCTCTGTATCATTGTGTTTTAGATAATAAATTTACATTTTACCAAAAACATTTTACTTGAACATTTTAAGTGAGGCATCTCCAAATACTCCACAAAAGAATACATCTACAAATAAAAGCGACAACAGAAGCATACATGTAGCATCAGACCTCATAGACCAGTTATTAGGTGCACTCAATTTCTTAGTAATGATTCAGATTCGAGTTATGGAACTGTCATGTTAAAATTCTCCATCCCCTATCCGCAAATTATACTTATTGGAAAAAAAAAATAAAAAAATAAAATAAAAGAGAAGAAGAAGAAGAAGAAGAGGTATGCGTGTACAAACTGCACCAAAAGGAACACATGGATAAATGAACTAAAATAAAAAAATGCTATTCCTCAGGTGTAGACACTCACAACTCTATGATACAGACTATTTTGTTCAGCTCCTGATATTCACAATAAACCCTCCACATCTCTGCACTGCAACTCCTTTCCAACTACAAAACAAAGAGAAATTAAGAAGAAAAGAAAGGCAGCAAAAGGAAAGGATTCTACCACCATATTTTGGGGGCAAAAGATTGAAACATCCCCTGTTCACAGGTTTATCATCCTAATATCAAAATCTTGTTATAACAACACATACAAAATAATGCTCAATCTCTTGCTTATCTTCCTCTACCCATAAAATATTTTGGACCTAAACACAAGTGATCAAAGTAAGCCAAAACCTACTAATGAGCATGGAATTTCTCTACACGCAGCAACTAGAAAGTACTATCCAAACCTTCCATAATTTCTAGCAGAATGCCAAAATGTACCCCTAATCTGACTGGGACACCAGAATTGTGTGCAATCTTGGGCTATCTACAGCTGAGATCACAACTCCAATGGAACACAACTGATCATTTGCAAGCAATCAGCGTTGAGAAATAACAGTTAAAGAATATCAACATCTGGCAATTATCATCTATTCAAATGAAAAAAAGTAAAATTTTCTAGATACCTACATTCCTGTGAAAACGACTCAAACCAGGAATTAAGGAAATCAATCATCAGAGGAAAACCCAACGTGCTTTTTATTCCTTTACATAGATTTTATGTAAATTTGAACGGTTTCACATAAAAATTTAACGAAGTAACCAACCAAAAAAAAAGAAAAAGAAAAAGAAAAAAGAGATTAGAATTCAAGGTTCGAACCAAGCAAAACTTACCACATATATACTACCGCCATTCTTGAGAGTATAGGGGCCACACTCAACCGAGAGATGGAAATGGCTGTACGAGAACCTTCTGCTTCACCTTCCCGCTCCTATCCACCAGCGTCAGCTCGAACAGGCCCTCACATCAGTTCCTTCGCTAGCCAAAGATATGAAAACCGAAACGAAGGCGGAATTATCCTTGGTGTTTTTGCTGTCCGGGTAAAAGTAAACGGCACACTGGCACCGGCGCGCCCACGGTGAAATTGTCGCTGGCAATGTGCTTCCCCAACCCCATCCCTTTGGCCAACCTGTCACCCTGGATCTGGACTTGTGCGACCTGTTCACCGTCTGCGTCACCGAACGAGAGCTGGTCGGCGAGACCTGTGGGCTTAGGTTAGTGTTTGGGCAGCTTCACAATCCAACGCTGTTGAAGTCTTCAGCTGCTTCTACACCTGAAAATCCCGAGGATGTTTCCTCGGGAAAAACACTCCAACGCTCAAGTCAGCGATACTCAATATTTTAGAGAGAAGTGCTCTCAAAGAGTAATTGCAGAGAGAGAAGCGTAGAGATTAATTACCTTCATTGTTGGTGGTTGGGGGGTATTTATAGCCCCAAATACTGACATGCATTCCCACATGTTACTAACTCATTGGGCCACGTGGTGCTGCTCACGTGGGCGTGTCTCCTCCTCTTGGGCCTGTGTGTGCATAGTTGGGCCTGTTATATGTGGCCTGAATTTGGCGTTGGGCCTAATCCCAACATTACTCCCCCCTCAGCGTTCGGTTGACGAACTGGATGGGAGTCTTGTGGCAAAAGGTATCGTTTTGCCCCTGAACTTTTCGACTTGTAGGATTTTTGCCCTCCATATTACAATACATGGATTTTTACCCTCAATATTCTCGAGTTTGAGGAAATGAGGCAAAATTTAACGCCGGAACGTCACGTGTAGCACGTGCACCGTTGGCTTCCGTCAAGTATGCGCATGTCAGCGCCAACTCAGATTTTTTTGACAACATGGCATGCCAACTTGGAACCCCACGAGCGGGAAGTTTACCTGCTGCCAATTTTTTTGTGGGT